TCTTCTGAACATAATGAACAACCCATAAAAAATGAGACAACCAATAATTATGTGCTTATGAAGCATTCTTGGCAAACAAATGAATTTGAATATATTTATGCTTCTATAACTGAACACCAGTTTACAGGTAATATGAAGAATAGAGAGCCAGTTAATGACACAACAATGCAGGATATTGTGCGGAACCAATGACTCACTTTTCTTAGCAAATCAATGACATAAATGGAGGTGGGAAGCTTAGAGATCTATTATACAGTAGAAGAAAACAGACTTAAGAGTCATAATCATCAATTTCCATGCATCAAGGATATGAACTTTGTTGGGATCCATTTGCAAACCAAAACAATGAAAAAGTACGCTTGAGACAAGTAGAAAAATTTCTCCATAGACTGAGTATTACATGACATTGAAAACTACTGTCACCTTCTGAAGGGGAATATAGTCAATACTATTGTAATAAGTTTGCATGGTGACAGATGATTGCTAGTGTTAGTATGGCAATCAGATTGTAATCTATATAAATATCAAATCACTATATTGTACGTGTGAAGCTAATATAATGTTGTATACCAATTATACTTAAATAAAAAATTATATGTTCAAAATAGAAAAAGGGAATTTCAGTCACCTTCGTTATATATGATGATGGCATAGTAGTTATGTTTTTAAAAGAGTCCTTATCATTATAGATGAATAATAAAGTACTTGCAGGTGAAATCATGTTTGTGTGATTTTTTTCCTTATAAAAAATTTCAGAAAAAATGTAAGAAGACGGAGCGAAAGTGACAAAATTTGGATAAGTTTTGAAAATGGATGATGAATTGATGGGAGTTATTATAATTTTGTATGTATATAAAAATTTTTAAGTTGCTTCATTTAAATTTTAATAGTTTTTTTGCATTTGGCCTTAATTTTTCTCAAATGCATCATTAGAGTGGCTAATATCAATTAATAAATTAGTATGGTTTTGAAGTCCTCAGAGTAGGTAATCCATCGATGTCGTTTTTGTCTGGTCTCCTTTCTTGAGTCCCTTTCCTTCTTTTCCATCTGGATTAGCAGCATGTTGGACTTTCTGCATAGTATTTGGTCTGGACTGTCCTTCCCCATGATCCTGGACTGCCCATATCTATTTTCCTGCGATGGATTCACTGTCTCCCTTTGTCAATAGATTCCCTCATTTTGCTAGAGAACATGCTCTAGTAGCTTCCTAGGAAAATACAAGTGTGAAGTAAATTTCTCTGTCCTTGAATGTCTTTATTCTCTTTCACATTGGATTTGGCTTGATACTTTTCCTCTCAGAATTTTGGGAGCATTTCTCCATGTACCTCTACTGCTAGCCCCCTGTACAGGTGTTAAGGAGTTCAAGGTTATCTTGATTTTCACTTTCCCCCCTTTTAAAAGATATTAGAATCTTTTCTTTATTCCTATTATTAAAAAAAATATCTCAGTATATGCGGTAAGGTTCATCCTTTTCTATTTATTGTGCTGTGCCCTTGTGTCTCACAGGTCTGGGAAATTTTTCTGGTTTGATTTGTTATAATCTTACATTTTCTCTGGGATCTTTTTCTGTGACTCTTATTCATAGGATATTAGACTTACTAATCCCAATTCAAGAAATTTATTTGGAGAAATTCTACATGGAAGGAAACAGGAAGAAAATCAGGGAACGTTAGGGGAGATCTCAGACAAGAGTGCTACCCTGATCCCAGCATAGAAGAGAGTGAGGAATGGTTGGGCAGAAGTGTCCTAGACTCTCCTTAAAGCTACTGTTGTGTACAAAGCCTGCAGGGAATCCTTGAGTCAAAGTCAGCTGACAAAGGCGTCCCCTGTCTTTCAGGAATAAATTGGCCTTATTATTTCTGCTGCACTTGTTCATTGTGGTAATCTAAACCCAGGCATGGATGCAACACAAGCACAGTGATGGATCTCAAAGTGGTGCATGCACCTGGGGCCACAGTCAATTAACGGCCTTTCCTGCTGGTCAGAGGGGCCAACATCATGGCCACTACCATAATTATATTTTATAATCATGGGATGTTAAATGCATTTGCTTGTATGCTGTGCCTAGAACAGTGTCGTGGACATTACAAGCACTCTGAAATCATTAACTATATTTACCGAGTACCAAGGAGAAGCCTGCAAGGGTGGGGGATTAGCCAAAGGAGTTGTCATAAATTTTATACTCTAAACTTCAGAGCCTATTTACTTTTACTTCATGCACTATTCAAATAATTTTGGTCAACATGAGTACAAGTCAAACTCAGGTTACAAACGGCAGAGTAAAAAGAAGTTAGAAGCTTAGTAGTACTGTGACAATCAGAAAGTTGGGAGGTGTGCATTTGACAGCAGTAAAAAAGAGAGAAAACATAAAAATAAAACACAACAAAAACACATATTTTTAGAATTTTTAACATAAGTAAACTTAGCCCCAGAAACTGCAGTAGGCATGGGTGCTTCATGGTACCATTACTGCAACAGCCAATGTTCATAATAATGAGTGCTATCAGGAAAATATTTTATAAGAACTTTGAGGAGGTGGGAAAGCATGAAATGCATTTTTTAGTGATTTCTGTCCGCAATAGTTAAAACTGCAGAGAAACTCCACAGAAAGAGTAAATCCTCCAGAATTCTGGACAGCTGACAGTTTTACTGATCTAATTAAGTATACAGCTTTTGCGTTTTCCTATGCATAATTGCATATTATTGGAACAATCACTTGCTAGTGAACAATCATTAGCCTTCTCATTTTATGACCTGATTTTTATGTTGCAACCCCCATACCTTTCAAGGCATTTGTTTGTCGTCACTGTCTAGGTGCACTGGCTTTTTAAGCAAATATCAAATCTCTCTGATAAATCATGAACACCAGCAGCAGAGCTGCCAAGCCACTTAAATTAAGCTCCTGAAAAGGGCTTGACCATTGCATAACTGTCACTGAGAGCATTCTCACTCCAGTGGCACATGCCCCAGGCTGCCTGTTTGGACATCGCCTGGACCTGCTTCCCAGACAGCCGGCCTCATTTTGACAGCACTTCCTGTTTCTTCCCAGCACTGCTTTTCATGTGTTCCCACCTGTGCACATGAACCACTGGGTTGTGGGTGCTTTCACAAACGTGGGGCTAACAACGAAATCGCTGTTTTGGAATATGACATTGACTCCTTTGGAGAATAATGAAAGAACTTGATGGCAGCTCATCTTCTAACCTCTCAGGATACTGTCAGAGCCTGAGAAGCTGTTGTCTAGGACAACAGACTTCCACTGTGACACTGGGCTGCTTACACAGTGGGGCAGCAGCAGCCACACAAAGGGTGAAACAGAGAATGACAGTGAGAGAGAGGGAGACAGAGAATGCCATGAGAGATACTCACATAAGTAAAGACAAAGAGAGCAACACACAACATATAGTATCCTGTCTTAGTTCCAGCTGCTATCACAAAAATACCATAGACTAGGTAGTTTAAACACTGGATTTTTAGGTGGGGAAGGCACAGGTAGATTCCCTGTCTGGTGAGGGTCCATGGCTTGCTTCATTGATAACTGGTCTCCCACTGTGTCTTCACATGGGGAAGGGGTAAGAAAACTCTTGGAGCTCTCTCTGTAACAGCACTAATCCCATTCGTGAGGGCTCTGCCTTCATGACCTGATCACTTCCTAAAGACCCCCATCTCCAAATACAACCATATTGGGGGTTAGATTTGAACGTTAGGATTTGGTATGACAGTTTTAGTGTGTAGCATGTCCAGAACATAATTCAGAATTAAGAATAGAAGCAGAATCTTTCTCATTTTCTCACTGATATCTAAATTCCATAGGGCCTGAGCTCTGTTTGCTTGCAAATACACTAAGTAAAATTTATGACAAAAACACAGAAATGCTACACAGGCAGTGCTTAATTCAAGTTAGATAACAAAGAACAAAAAACAATAATGTCCTGAAAGAAATTTGTTCCTCACATTGCTACAAGAATTAAAATAGCCATTAATTTTTGCACAGGTTTAATTTTCCCCAGTTCTTAGCTACTAACTCCTTTTAAATTATCTGCTTTCTGGCTTTGGAGAAGAGCTCAAAGGACTGTGCAAATTCCATACATCCTAACGAACAATAGTTGTTTTAATTATATTAAATTCATTGTCCCTTCTTTCTCCTCTATTATCATGCATGGCTGTCCAATGCTATCTGTTTTTCTATGAGTGCTATCCCCCCGTTCCCTTTCATCCTGGATGGCATCAGTACATTTTGAAATGTACAGATCTACAGGTAAAATAACTGAAATGTACAAGGAAAAGCAGGCTGGAAGAACTTTAGCCTGGAATGTCAGATTTTTTGTCTTATCTTTTCTATTTCATTTTTTTTCTCATCTTTATATTTTTTTCAAGACATAAAATTAACTGTGCTACAACTCCTCAGGAATGAGTAAATTTAGGACAATAGTTCAATGACATTGTTTAGAAACTAAAATTTATCTGAATTCAAAACTGTAAGTTTTGGTTTTCCTTCAAACTAAATTCATCAGATATGAAAAAAGAAGTACTATGAAGCATTCCGACTTTTGATTTGAGCACAAACAACATGTTGGCTAACTTCTACTGATTTTATCTGCCAATCTAGGTGCAATCACACTTCAAAAAGCACATTTCTGTAATCTGCTTTTCCATAAAATGTCACCATTGCATTAAACACTCTGAAAACAGTCTTTGTAAATCAATCTGCACTTACTAGATTTGTTTAAATGATAGCATTAGAATTCCATGCCGAGATTTAATTTGGTTTTAAAATAACTCCCTACATGCAGATCATTTCCAAGGGTGGAAAAGCGAGTTCCCAATTATTTTCATGCCGTCAGTGCTAAATGTGTTTAATAACTCACTTCCCTACAAACTGGGGGTTCCCCGAAGGCCTCCTCATTCAGTAGGATGCACACATTTTACCTCAATTTAGTTTACATTTTAAAAAAGGCAAAATGGAGAACCATATCCAAAGGAAAAGGAAGAGTTCTTACCTTATTCATGTCAAAGGTATCATAGACTTGATCAACATGTTGGTTGGCCTTTTGAGTCAGACCTTGCAGACCCAAGAGTGTCTTAAATTCATGCAGTGTTTGCAGGCCGGATGGATATTCCATCATAAATTTCCTGTACCACACATAGGTCTCTGTAGCTGGAACTGCTGCCAGGCAATCAGCTATAGATTTACTATTGCCCATCGGGACCCTGTCGACAGCTTTTTCTCAGGTCGTTTTCAGGTAGGGTCTGTCCCTGTGTAGTCCCTCACTCTTCACTAAAATTTAAGGCTAACACGTGCCCTTAGAAAGCTACTCTAAACCTCTTACAGCTAGAGACTAAATAAGAATAGAAAGCCAGTGAGATTAACTCATCTGTAGTTTTAAGAACAGGTCACTCACTGCTTCCTGATGGGATTGTGCTAACTTGCTATTTAGAGATGCAGTTTCCTGTGAAGGGCAGAGGCAATAATTTAGAGCGTAATCCTTGTTGTATTGTTAGCCATAAATTCTGCCCACATTACAGAGTGATACAATGGAGTCTGATGGAAGAACTTGGAGTTGCAATCAGGAAGCCTGGGTTCTCGGTTTCGCCTGCCACTTATTAACTACACTGAAATATTACTTATGTTCTCCAGTCTGTTTCCACATCCATAAAACAGTAGCAAGAGTATTTGCCTTTTCACGCCTAAATACCGGGAAGTTAAATTTAGATGAAAAACATTTTCTAAAACCATGGGAAAATATATACCCTGAGTATTGTTAAATTAAAAGGAAGTCTATGTATAGAAAAGGGAAATGGTGAAAGATAACCATTATTAGTTGCAGTAAAAAGAGTTGTAGATGTAGTAGGCAGAAAAGTGTGGTCCCCAGATAAAAGAACATATTGGACTGTGTTCTCCAGCACTGTGTTTTCTAGCTGTTCTGTCTCTCCAGTCTGCATCTACCCATGACTGCTAGTTCTACTCCACTCCAGGTCCCAAGCTTACTTAAGGCAATTGCACTGGACTTGAGAACTGAGTGAATGGACCTAAGAACTGTATCTACGCCCCAGTAACAGAAAGAAATTGCCCATATGCTCCTCAAGCCATCTCATAACCAGCCATACTTAGGAGTAAGAAAATTGTATTATTTCCACTTGGAGTCACTGGGTTCTAAGGATGCTTCTCCTCTCCTAATCTTAGTCCATTCCCCCCACCCCCAATTCCCATATTGACTCAGTTCATAAATCTGGTCTCTGCCTTCATCCCCATTCCTTAGTCCTGATTACCTGCTTAAAACCCAGATTCCTCAAGAACTGGAGCCTGTGGGCCCTTAATGGAACTGTGGTGACAGGAAGAAGGGATGGTTAGGGTGAATGTAATTCATTGTTTCAAACACACCACAACACACTTTCAATAAAATATTTTAATTTCACAATTAGCGTTATATAGCAAGTGCTCAATAAGAAATTTGGAACTCACCCATTTGGTAGCATTACTTTTAATTGTGAGAGTAGATGAGGTAATGAAGACTCAGCCCAGGGACTATTCAGTCAGGAAATATGAGGAATATCCTTTTAAAATCTCCAAAAACCATTCTCTGAGAACTCCCTCTTTCTAAATGTCTGCCAGAAGGATTCTCTGAGGCACTAACTTCTTATCACCATTAGCAGCTATTAATCACCAATTTTTAGATTAAAGAAAGGAGGACAGTGCTGATGGCAGAGAAAGGTAATGAAAGTTTTCAAGGCACCAAGAAAATGGCTTGCGAGAGAAAAACTTTGGGTAGGGCAAGGATACAAGGGCATGAAATCCAGAAATCATACTTTTAAAACAATCTGCATAATGATGACTTGTTGATACAGGAAAAACCTTTTAAACTATTACAAACAGCATGAGAATTCTTATATTGGATACAATATTTATATATAAAAGTCAGGAGTTTTGTGATGCTCAGAACAAGTTATAAGACAATGAGAGAAAAAAATGGGAAAAGGCTTCATTTACAATAAATCCAAGATGTAACCAGCCATTAATTAGACTTATGTCTAATTATGTCAAGACATAAATCTAATATAAATATAACTATAATGTGCAAGATGTATTGGAAGAAATATTTTAAATGCTAATATAGGGCACCAATAATAACTTTTCTTTAAATTGTTTTTCAAATACAGTTGTCTCCATTTTCTCCCCTCCTCTTGCCCCCATCCTACACATCTCCACCTCCCACCCTGGATCCTACCCCCTTTGGCTTTGTCCATGTGTCCTTTATACATGGTCCTTGACAACCCTTCCCCTATTTTTCCCATTATACCTCCCTCCTTTTTCCTCTGGTTACTCTCAGTTGGTTATTTCAATGTCTCTTTATATTTTGCTTCCTTGTTTTGTTGATCAGGTTCTGCTTATAGGTGAGATCACTTCATACGCATCAGAGTAGCCATCAAAACAAACAACAAGTGCTGGAGAGGCTGTGGAGCAAAGGGAACCCTAGTGCACTGCTGGTGGGGATGCAGACTGGTGCAGCCACTGTGGAAAACACTATGGAATTTCCTCAGAAAACTAAAAATGCAACTGCCTTTTGACCAGGCAATTCCACTGCTGGGACTATACCCTAAGAACCCTGAAACACCAATTCAAAAGAACCTATGCACCTCAATGTTCATAGCAGCACAATTTACAATAATCAATGAAAACTTGACCATATAGAAAGGCATATTTTCTTTGGTCTTTTTTAGAAAGAAATGATAATAAAAGTCAATTCTCTTTATCTTAATCTTACATCACCACAAACCTAACAAAGTACAAGTAAAATTTGAGAGTAAATGGTGACTAAAAAAGCTAACTCTTTAGTTTGAGTGAGAATCAAACATGCAAGGGCACACAGAAAAATTCTGAAAAATAAAATTAGTGACTGGCCCTGCCAAAACAATAGGGGACTGACATAAGAAAAGAGGAACAATCAATGGGAAATGATGAAATATATTTTTTAAAAGTTGATGCAAATATGAACAGGAATTTACACTGCAATAAAGGTGGTTTGCAGATTGATAGGAGGAAAGATTGATTATTTAATTAATAATTCTAAGACAATCTGGACTACACACAAAGTTGGGTTTTTAATATACTCTTTACACCAAAATAAATTTTAGATGAATTAGAGATTTAACAATATAGTTATTATAAAAATCATTATAAGAAAATAAAACAAAAATTTTTAATACTTTTTTGCATTGCAAAGTCCTCTCTAAATATTACTATTAAGCCCAGAAGCCATAAACAAAAGAAAACTAAACTAAAATTTTAAAAAATCTTATATGGCTAAAACCACCATAAAATTTTTAAATAAAACATTGATAAAATATCTGTCATACACATAATATAAAAAATAATTTCCCTTGTATAAAAATAATTCCTATAATTCTAGAAAATAATCCTATTGGGTAGTAAGAGAATACTACCCAATATTCTCAACTTTATTTATAGGAAATATACATTTAAGCTACAAGGTTATACACTTTTCATCTATTTTATCAGCAAGATTAGGGAAATTGATAATTCACTGGGTAGGTAAAGGCCTGGGGAAATATTGATGTTGGGGTGTGTATTAATAAAATTTTTATGAAGTACTATTAGGCAATATCTATTAATAATAAAATGTATATACCCCTTGACCCAGTAATTTATCTTCTGAGATTTATTTAACACATATAATTGCACTTGTATAAAAATGAATGTATTTAAAAGAATATTCTCTATTATGTGCATGTAAATCCAAAAGAATGGGAAAATGTAAATATCCACTGATAAGAGAATAGTCAAATAAATTCTGGTACATCCAGGGAATGGAATACAGATAATGAGAGACTTCTACCTGTGTGGATCCTGATATGGAATGGTCTTGAAGATCTATTAAGTGGAAAAGCAACAACATCTTTCAGGTGTATTACATCCATACTTATATCTATGTAAATGACTTGTGTGGTTTTATGTGCATTGATTGTACCTGGATGGATTCACAAGTAATTGGCAAAAGCATGCCACCTGAGAGTAGTTAAGTGGCTAATCACAGTGTGCAGACTTTGCGCCCTATTCCACTCTGAAAGTTCTGAACTTTATACTGTGTGCATGTGCATGAAATTAAAATTACATGATTCCACAAATACATACTAAATGTTTATTGTTTTTGTCCAAAGTTACAGACATTTCTAAACAAACACATAAAAGAACCAGTTATCCAAGAATATCTAAAAACACAATTCTTAACATAAGTATAACGTGTGTTCACATCTTACTTAGACTTGCTCTTTTACTACAACTGAGTAAGAAAGTTACCATGCATACTATAACTCAAAGTTTTTAAAGGATTTGTTATTTTCTGCTTTATGAGTATTGGCTGCAGTGCAGAAAGGACAGACTGTCTTTTTCAACACATGCTTCAGGAGGAGGTAACTCTGTAGTCCTATGTATACTAATTTTGAGAAGCTCTGTTTTCCAGTCTTTTAAGTAAAACTAAAATTTAAAACTAAATGACATTTTCATCTTTCTTAATTGCTCACATGGAAATTACAGAACTCAAGAAAAAGTTTCTGAAAGAACAGGAAGACTTAGGGAATAGGACTAGGAAATACACAAATTATAAATCACTCTCCATTCCCAAAGTATACAATTTTCTTAGTATTAAACAAGGATGAACTTCACAATAACAAGCACAAGGGGAAATATTTTTTGAAAGAGTCTTCCTTTTTCTTATTAGCATTTCAGAAAAGGGAATGTCTTTTCTGACTGTTAGTTTTGAGCAGAACTTTCATTTTTTCTCTAAAGGGAGACTATGTTCCGGATCTGCAGTTCCTCTCTTTGAAGTGTTCCCCAAAAGGAGATTATCTTCTTTCAGCAAAGCTTCTAAATAACGGTCAATCTGTTCCAGGTCTCCTCCTGGTCCTCCCTGCCAAAGCAAAGCAACAGTCACAGCAGAGGAAGAAGCTGCAGTGTTTGTTCCTGTGAGCTCGTTGGCCTCTGAACAGTCTTCTCTGTGATTCATGTAACAACACAACCCACCATGCATTTCAGTAATGATTTTAACCTTTTAAAATGTTTTCACATTTAATCTCATTTTATGCTTGCAAGTGGGTAAAGAGTTGGATCATTTTTCCTTCTTCAGAGGAGGTTAATTTATCTTTTATTTTCCTTCCACCTAATTCTTTGTCATATTGCTAAAGCCCCTCCTCCAGCCTAATCTCATCTTTCTGTGATAAGTGCTCATCTCCCATTTAAAAATTCATGAATCTGTAGCTTTACAGGCTAAACAGGTGAGCAGGAAAATTCCGATTTCTCTG